TATCTCCTCTTCCTTGGCTCTGGTTGTTGGTGCATATATTTGAATGATAGTGGTATTCACTGGACTTCCTTGTATGCGTATAGATATTATCCTGTCCTGGGTATAGCTTATGTATTTTTTTTCTTGGACAAAATGATAAAATTGACCTTCCACAGAGCCCTGAAGTGGAAATCTGCTAAGCTATTGATTTAGAAAGTGATAAAATGATTTACCCATTGTGAGAGTCACACTTTACACTGTGATGTGAAAGGTGAGTGTTGTCATAATTGAGTGACTACAGCTCACTCATCATGAGACCGTTTTTTGTGGGTGAGCTGTCTGACCTCAGGCTGTGTTGTTGAAGGTCTCTGGGCTGAGCTTCCTTAAGTCATTCCTGAGGCAGAGCTGATTGGTGGTCCAGTGGTTGACTTCTTGCCTTTCATGTGGAAGACCTGAGTTCTCATCCCAGCTCATCCATCTCCTGAGAGCTACCACTCATCTGTCAGAGAAGGCTTGCTTATTGGTCAACTTGCTTTAAGATTTACACTGGATTATCCACATGGGCACACTGTGATTTCCAAGGATCTTTAGAAGCAGAAGGTGGCTGAGGAGGATCTGGGTCAGAGAGAGATCTGAAGATGATGCCTAATGGCTTCGAAGATGACGGAAAGGATGCAGGCAGCTGGAGAAGATAAAAAGGAAGAGAGGCTATATTCTTTCCTAAGGCCTCTAGAAAGAAGAATTACCCCACCTTCACCTTCATTTTAGCCTATTAACCTTAAGACCTCTAAAAGGGTGGGAATCAATGTTAGTTTGAGGACTTGCATTTGTGGTAATTTGTTACAGCAGCAGTAGAAAACCAGTTATTGTTCTTGCTGTGTACCATCAAGTCAGTACCAACCCATAGCTGACCCTCTACTGGGTTTTCAAAGGCAGTAAATCACTCAGGAGGAGATTGCCCATCCTTCTGCAGACTAACTGGCCACCACCTACCTTTGCATTGGCCGTGTAACCCCAATAGGATTCAGTGACAGCAGCCATGGACTCAAGCGTGTCAGAGCTGAAGAGGATGGCACAGGAGAGGGCAAGGTTCGGATATGTCATTCACAGGGTCACTACGAGTCGTACTTGACTAGACTGCACCCAACAACAACAAGAAGCCATCAGAGCTGCTTGGCTCCCTTGAAAACCAGTACCGTGTATATACAAAATTCTTTGCAAATTAATTATAATTTCTTTTAATTTGCTGAGTTAATCTACAGTCCTTTTCCCTGGATACTGTTTATAGGCATGGATAGTAAGGCTTTATCTCACATACTTTGAACATGAAGTCAGGAGAAAGGCTAGTCTGAGAAGAACATCGTGCTTGGGAAAGTTAGCTCCAGAGAGGAAGAACCTCAATCCAGCGGATTGATACCGTGACACATAAGGTGCAGGTTAGAGTTCAGTGTCATATGTTGTCCATGAGGTCACTGTTGGCACATAAAGTACAATCACTGCTGCAAAATACATAGATACAGTGATGACCAGTATGATTAATGGTGATCTCCATGACTGTAGCATCCTAATCTTTAGTGGAAAGTTAAATTATCTTAAATGTTTGTGATTTCCATGTTAAATGTCCTTTTTTGACTTTTAAATATTTAGATATACTCAATTACCTGCAGTGAATTCACTTATATTTTGAAAACTTGTTTCATCATCTTCCTTCATTACTTTCTTTGTTATTGAACTTCGCATTTTATTTCCTCATAAAAATAAGAGATCTTGCAGGTAGAGTTTTAGGAGTTTATTTTTAAATTAAAAACAATGTAAGGAAAACTTAATTTTCAAAGTAAATGGAAATTGACAAAGCAAGTAAATGATGAATGAAAAGATTTTTTGTTTTGATTTTTTAATATACTCTTCCCTTTGTATATTAAAAATCTAGCTGTAAAAGGAAATTATTTTAAACAAATAAAGCATAATTGTCAGGCAACTAGTTTTACCTGGAGCATATGTTTTTCAGACCAGATTCTTCC